ACCCTGAGTCAGCTGGGATAGACTCCAGCCCCCCATGACCCTAGTGAGGATTAAGCGGTGTATAGATAATGGATGGATGGATGGATATGTTCGGCATGTAGAGTTAAGCGGTTTTGAAATATCACAACTTTGAGCTTAGACTCGGTTCCGTTTTCTAAAGTAATGACGCCACAGACGAGTACTTCAAGGCCCTTTTGTGAAGTTGGAAATTTTCTTTCTGTTTTTATAGTTTCCGACTCTGATAAAAAGGTGTAATTTTAAAGGTTTTTTTGTTGAAGATGACACACCTTGTAAGGCCGACCCAGATTTGTGGCTTCAGTGGGTGAATCATCACCGCAGCATGATGTCACCGTTAATCGCACAAAACGCAGAGGCAATGCAGCGCTGACAACCCTCCTCATCCTCTACATGTTCTTCATATGCAGCACAAACTGGTTCATCCCGCTGCCTTCAAGTGACATGACAAGAATCTTCAAAACTTCAACGATACATCCGATAATCGTTGTTTTCCCAAACCCACGAGTCCCGTTTACGTCCAAGCGTTGGGTTCACTGGACGGACGTCTCTCTGATCGACTCACTGATATCGCGGCGCTTCACTGAGGCTGAAGGAAAGCGTGACAGTTCTTCAAGTGATTCACTTTATAAAACAAAATCAATTTTGCGTTTGCGTCAGAGTGTGTAAGAAAAACAAACAGCGTAGATAAAAAAAAGATTCTTAATAAATGTGAATGTGGTTGTAGAGTCGCAAAAAGAAAAAAAAGCCCAAACAAATGAGGCGTGAAACCTCGCTGCATTCGTGCATGACTCAGACTCTAACATTTACTTCAGGACAATTACAGCATCAGCCCACTGCATTCTTTGGATTACATCAAGAAGGACTTCCTGTGTGTCACAAAGCTGCCTTTAAGCACTGAATTCTCTCTCATCTCCTTTACAAACCGTCCGAACCTCTCGGGGAGTCTGGAGCAGATCGGTCATGTCCCCAGAGTCCAGACCTCTCCGCTGGTCTGCCTCGCGTCCCCAGAGTCCAGATGTTTCAGGTGCTCGCTGTGCCGAGACCTCTCCGGTGGTTTGATGCAGGTCTGTTTACCGTCCCCAGAGTCCAGAGCTCTCTCGGGTTCTGCAGCATTTAGTTTTTACGCTCCACATATCAGAGCGAACTCCACAGAGGTCTCCAGATCTACATCAGACTCGTTTGTTTGCTGCCGTGTGGTATTAAATCACATTTAGGACGATTTACTCAAACGCTGTACTGTTCTATCTTCTTAGTTCC